AACTATAGTCTCTAAAGTCTACTTTCCATCAGTAGTACATAAATTTAAACATATTTTAACATTGGCCACACAAGAGAAAAGCTCTTAGTTACTTTAAATTGGTATAAAAGGTCTTTCCATGCAGAGGCAAGGTTTTTATTTGTTTGCATTTTCAAAGCTAGACGAATCTTCAAGTGTATCATTCACGATCATTGACATCGTCATTTCCCTATTTTATGTGTGTTTTGCAGAAAGAATTTATTGGATTAGAAATTGATTGTTGAGTGCAATCAATATTATGCACCACTTTCTTTTGGTGTAAAGCTCTATAATGCTATGTTCACGCTGTGCTTAGTGTTGGACCTCCTTGCCCAAACACACATTTTTTACTCTTCCTTCCTTGGAGAAAAAAAAATTACTACTATTGGGTAAGGTACCTCCTTTTAACAGCATGAAACTTTTCTGTAAATCTTCTTTTCTTTGTGATACTTATTCACAGAAAAACGTACAGAATTTTTGGAGGTGAGAAAAGGGAACAGGTAAAGTGTGGGGGGGGGTGAGGCGCAAAACATAGTCTGTATTACGTGTGCACAGGTACTTAACCTGTGTTAGCACATAACTTTATAAACTGTGATGTAGTCTGAAATAATACTCATTTTTCAAACTCAGCTCAAAGGTTTCCCAGCAATCCAGAGAAACCTGCATTTTTTCTGCTCAGAGAAATGGGGAAGCAAAGTGAACTGCAGGGAAGAGGTGGTATGAATGAAAGGAGTTTAGGGGAATTAGACAGGCCCAAGTTAGTATGGGGAGAGTTGTAGGGAAGGGGGTAGGGATGGAAGTAAGAGCATCTCTCTACGTACCTGTAAGTCTGCCTTGCTAAAGCACCCTGTCGTCTGAGCTTGAGACTTGGAAACACCCTTTTTCTCTAATGAAGGGATGGTTTTCAGGAAGGGGAAATTATTGGTTTACACGTAAATACTCAAGAACAAAAGCAGTCACTTCTGTAAACCTGTGAATTAATGCTATGCCTTTTTTTTAAAGGATCATTTCTTGAGAGACATTTTAGTGTAATTATAAGCTATCAAGAAATGGGAAAGAATTTTACATTTTGTATGTGGGCCTGAATAAATAGATCCATTGAGAGACAGACAGAGCAAGTCACTTGGAATGCACCAGTCAACAGCAGAAATGTAAACATACTCCAGCTACACTCTCTGCACTTGTATTTCAGCGTGTTGCAGAACAAAACTTCTATTAATGCAGGCTGACTGCTGTACTTGTTCAATTCAGTAGTGAGTCTCTCAGAAAATCCAGCTAATTCACAGATCATGGATCAGAACCACATTGTGTCTGCCACTCTGGAAACCCAGGAGGACAGAAACTTGCTGCAAAGGAGACTCTTTTCTGTCTTAGAATGAAGTGTATAAAGTTGGTTTGCAGAGCTGACTAGGTTTGGAGCAAGCCAATAAAATACTGAGGCCAACAAATCTTTGTCTCTGTGTTCCAGTGTGTTTGAACAACCTTATCTCATAGACAGGTACATCTACCGTATATTAGTCTTCATCTGATACTAGTCCTAATGAAATAACATCCACTAAGACTGTTGCTTTCTGAATTGTCATAATTATAGAAAGCCACTCTCAGACTGTTAGAACCTTAGCCTTTAAAAAGTAGCAGGTTACTGGAAAAAACTGTGTAAAAATCAAACACAATTCAGTTGGTTGTATTGAAACTAGTCTTATTCTGTAGAGGAGCAATATTAATTGTCTGTATTTAAAAACAAAATAACTTCCTTATCATATCTCTTGGTGGTTTTTGTTTAATTTTTTTTTTTTGTCTTGACAAAAGGAATGTGGGGCTTTTTGTGAGGGGTGTTTATCAGTGATACCAAGAAGGAAAGCTTAATTGCAAACAGAGTGGTGTTAGATCTGTGCTCCAAGAGGCCTAACTATCTAGAAAACAGGTCTGATGTGCAGCAATCTTTAGCTTGTGCTGGTGAAATATCTTGATAAATGGAATGTCCTTGACTATGAAAAGCTTCTTATGGCACTTTGTTCTCCACGTTTTCTTTTGATTGGACTGTGAGGTACCTCAAAAAGTAGCATGAGATACTGAGCTGCATGCTGGAATTCCCTTGCCTTTTACAGGTCCTTCTTTGATATTGTGTAAATCACGTTTTTCTTCAGCTGCAGATTTATTATAAGTCAAATGAATTATTATGGCCTCTTGCACAGTCTCTTGATTGGGGGGTACTGGCATGTCTCTGGCATGACAGAGACATCATAGTACAGCATAGTAAAATCAAACTCTAAACAGTAGCTTCCTTATATGTTTAAAAATAAAAGGTAAATATCAGTTTAATAAGACAGATGAACCTTAATTGCTAAATGTTTATGGAAAGTTTTGAGATGGTCAGAGGCCGGGTCCTGTGCAAATGCAGTATTTTATTAAAATATTTAATAACCAGATTCTCTGACGCAATTGAGGGAACAAAGATGCCTGTCCACTCTTAATTTTCCCTACCCATAATAATTTCTATAGAATATAAATTACATATTGTACAGCTTTATTCTGTTTTCAGAGGATAATTATACTAGAAATTCCAGCCTTCTTTCTGAGGAGGGACCTTTTTCTCAGAAACCACACGTTGTAGCAGTCTGTTTTTCTTTTGAGGAGGGCTGAATTTCCATTAATGTCCACAAGTTTTTATGGGTTGGTGCCTTTCAAGAGATGGATACAGGTAAAATGTATGTTTCCCTTACTCACAAGTCATAATAATTCAGTCTGGAAGATATATTGGAAGCTGATGATATAGGAGTGGAAGCTTTTTTTTGCATGTGTAATATGTTAGAGATTACTCTTAATTTCATGCCTGCTATTGTAACAGAGAGAAGCCTGTAATTCCTGTCGTAGTCATCTGAGCATCTCCAGTGGTATCTCTGTGCTGAGAAGGGACTTGGACTTGGTGTCAAATGAGGCAAGGCAGGATGCAAAACGGACAGTACCAGTTGCTCTGTCTATGAGATTGGAGGCTATGAGATTTACATAAACATTTAAGGAGTTTGATAAAAGGAAAGGCAGGGTCTCAAAGTAAGGTTCACAACCCACTTTTGACATACCAGGAGAGACAAGTAGCAAAACATTCTCCAATATTAGAGACTGATGGACCCCATATATTTTCAATTTCCTAAGAGCAAACTACTGTTTCAGAAATGTTCCAGCTTTCTAATAGTCACACTCCACTGTTTTTAAGCATCCACAAGTTGCAAAATTATATTCCCGTCTGAGTAATTTTAGTAAGAGGGTAGCAGCAAGGAAACTGAATTCAGTTTTAAAAAAAAATCCTGTTCGTCTTACTTCTGCTGGAAAAGTTTGTTTGTTTTTTTATGTAGCTGTGGTGTACTCAAAGCTTTTTTTTTCATCATTGCATATGCAAAATCCAGACCTGCAGAACTGTTCCATGTGGTGAACAGTCTGCTAAACCCAGACTGTTTTGCCTGAGTAGCAGATTTCCATATACCTCATTATGAGTTTGGGATTTTTTTGATTTATGTAGACTCTGTTCCTTCAAAGGGATGTATGACTGTAGACCTTTATATATACCAAAGTGATTTCTTATCAAGTACTGAGGAAAATACAAGGGCAGGTCCAGTTGGAGAATATGAGCTTTTTTTTGCAGAGAACTTTCTTTCTAGCCAGCTTAATTTGTCATGGAAACACCAGGTAAACAGGAGGCCACAAAGTTACTTAGCTTTTGAAGTTTTTAATGGTGGCCAATGAGTTTTTGGATGGTTAGTGAATGATGTAATCCACAGTGTGTAATGCAAATTCATATCCTTTTTGATTGGTGAGGGACTGTAAGAAAGATTTAGGTCAGTTACTGCTAAAAGAAAGTAGCATGGACTTTACCTTGTTAAATTCAGCCTGATTTAAATAAGTGTTAGATCTTTCCACACCAAAGAAGCAATTATCCTCGGTAATAGCAGGTGTGCTTGAGTCTTCCATCCTGTGATAAAGGCAAATGATTAGGGTACTACTAAATACATCTCTGAGGTTATCTTATTTCTGTAGATCCCTACCACTCAGATTTCCAGTCTGTGCATGGACAGAGTTAGTATCCTTGTTTTTATTATTTCCTTCTGGGGATGAACAAAATCATCAAATCAAGGAATATAATTATGAAACAATGTAGACTGGAGAGAGCATCTGGAGGTTATCTGGCGAAGCCACTCCTCAGAGCAGGGCCAGCTTAGATTCATGTGCTCATGGCAGTCATTCAGCTGAGCTTTGTGGACCACTGAGCACCACTTCAGAGGAGCCACTGGCTCCATAATCTCTTTAATTTTTTGTTAGATAATTGAAGGCATCAATACACCTTCAATAACAATATGCCTTAAACTCCCCTCCTTAACAGCCCCACCTCCCCAGTGTTCTCTGAAGACTGGACAAACCCATTTCTTTCAGCATCCCCCCTTACATCATCATGTACCTCATAAACTTTCTGACCCACTGCCCTCTTAATCTAGTGGGTTAACATCTCTCTTGTATTGGGAGGTCCAAAACTGGAGTAGATGATATCATCAATGTTTGCATCTGGCCATCTATAACTCCTCAGTCCAAATTATTTTGATTATGCTTAGCTGTTTTGACTGAAGGTGGCTTTTGGAATAATTAAGACTTCAAGTCTCACACAACTAACAAGATACCTGAACTACAGTATTCCACATCTTACTGATGAGGACTAAGGAACAGAACTGTTCCCAATGAAAAAGCTGTTTCCTGAGAGAATGCTTTGCATTAAGTGATACTCTTGATTTAAGTGGTTTATTTAGAGTGGGTCATGTTATAACCTGTTTTTGTAGATGGTATCACTCAATATTTCTTCTTGTCACCACAGCATAAAATACACTTCCTCATGGCCCACTGACTTTAAGCATAGGGAAAGAAGACTGTGTAGAAATCATTTTCAAATCCCAGGGACCGTATGTATAATGTACTGTTAAATTAACTTCTGTTTTTAGTGCGCTTGGAGGATCATCTGCCCTTCACATCCCAGCCTTTCCTGGTGGAGGTTGTCTTATTGACTATGTACCCCAAGTATGCCAGCTGCTAACAAACAAGGTAAGTTAGTAAAGACAACTCAGTTTTCCTTTTCGTTATGCTCTGTATTGCATTTCCATAGAAATCGTTATTCTTCTGCCAGGTGGTCCAGGCAAGGCATACTTAAGCTGAACTACACAGGGAATATCTTTTTGATAAGAGCTGAGCACCTAAACAGGACATGAATGTAACAACTCTTTTAGGTAAACAAGTGACGTTGGGGTCAGAATCCTGGAGCAGTTTTTTTCTTCATGTGACATGTTCCGATTTAGGATAAAATGTTATTGTATTGTATAACACTGCATTGTAGCATACTATTTTGTAAGTAAATACAAATGTGTAGTTTGCATATTATTTTTCTATTTGGGAGTTCTCATACCTAGTCATCACTAAGTTTTGAATACTTTCAATGATTTTTATTCTCATACGTTTCATCCAAATGAACTGAATCAGCAGTCTGTTTGGATGTTTGGATGTAATAGCTACTTAGGGTTGCTGAAAAGGTTGTGTTCCTGTTAGCTTACTGTTTAAACAAAAAAGAACAATTATAGTATTTTGAAAGTTTCTCCATTATTTAAGAGTACTTTTCAAAAGAAAGCTTAGGGGCCAACATCTAGAAGTTTACCTATTACAAACTTCGCATTTGTTTATTATTTTTACTTTCAATTGTCTAAATGAAGAAAATAATTTTATCTTTTAGAAAAAGTTCTTTAAAATGTGTTTCCATAATTATATTGGCATCTATCCTTAGAGTTGTTTTTGTTGTGGTTTTCTGTTAAAATTACTCTCTGTTTTTAAAATCTGCAAGCATACAGGACTGTTTTTATCCTTTCTTAAACAAAGTCATTTGAGCAAACTTATCGTACGTTTTCCTTTTCCCAAAATAACATTTCAGATCCTACACAGAGCCTTCAAAATAATTGTAGTTTTTTTATAAAATGAATATATTTCAATGTATGAATAAAATTCAACTTTAAGGTATACAAGATAGCTTTCAGCAATGAATGTATCAAGGCTTTTTCAGTAATTTTAGGAAAGCATTTGCCAGCCAAGAAATTCTGGTATTGCCATAGCCAAGAAAATACTCTTCCTGTTCCTTTCAGTGAGGGAAAAAAAGGGTTTCTGAAATACACCTTTTCATTCTGGAAAGCAAAGGAATTTACGTAAAGTATCACATATGGAACCACACCATAAGTACTTCAAGTCACCAGTTGTAAAGCAGATGCTCTTGCAGCCTCACGACACATGCATTGTTTCTGTTATGGGTCAAGCCCTGTTCACACTGTTCTCCTAAGTAATGCCGTTCAAATCAATAAGAAAATATAGATGGTGCAAGGAGAATTTTACCTTAAGTCTTCCAAATTTAGCATTGTTGGATTTTGTCTGTGCCAGGATGGAAGCCTTTCAAAACCCAGAATGCCTCAGAAGTTGATGCTTGCAGTTGAGTAGGTGGATCCCTGAGTCAGCATGAAAACAGTGACAGAGCTTAGTGTTCAGAAGATTTTGTTGGAGATGCAGTCTTCACAAAACACCGAAGATCAGTTGTGAAAGATACTTATTTTTGTCTTTTCTTTTATAACCAGAATGTTATTTTGACACTTAACCTACTGTCAGTTCAGGTAACTGTGATTTGTCTATCACAGCTTTCTACTCAAACTTCAGTAAGGCAAGGCTGAGCATTTCTTTCCTTCACTCTTTATCTTGTGCAGTTAAACAGTGCTTCAATCTATTGTGAAAAACTTGAGTTTCACTCAAACGTGAGTGAAGAAATTTCTCTGCAAGATGTTCTGTGTGCAAGATCCAGGGCTTGTTTTAAAGGCATTTTAGGATTCTTTAAGAAAATCACACAAGCTAAATGTAGGTTTCAGAACTACTGCCATGTCAAACATAAATCTTCCTTTACAAGAACTATATGACAAAGTGGGATTTAGCATTTTTATCTTTTTATAGCTCTGGATTTGTTTTCTTCTTTCTTTTTTCAGGTACAGTATGTTATTCAAGGATACCATAAGAGAAGAGAGTACATTGCAGCTTTCCTGAGTCACTTTGGAACGTAAGTTTTCCTGCGCTGCATTCTTTTCTGTAGCATGGGGGAAAGTAGTTTTCTGCACATGGTTTGTGGTTGTATGACTGCTGTCCACTGGATGAGATGAAATCTAGTCATTTTTCACAGAATGATGTGTATAGGTTGTCTCTCTGTAGCAGTACTGTAATGAAGGTCAGCATTATTTCACTTCTGTGCCAGTTGCCCATCTGATTTTACTAGAAAATAGTTGATGACTGGAAAAGGCCAGTAAGGATTTTCTTCTTGTGCAGAAGAAACGTGCTCATTTCTGAATAAATGACTTGAGGAGTCTTACAGTAATAGGCAGTGACTGAGGTGGGAGAATGGGGAAGCAGGTCTAAGCCTTGCAGGAGCCAGAAACCACTGCTTGGCATAAAAACAGGACTGGGAGACCAGCTGCTCCCACACCAAGCAGTATTTTGTCTCTCAAGAGAAGAGGCTGTTGGGTCATGTTAGATTCCTGCAGATCAGGCAGTGGCCATGGCCAGGCATGATGACACATTAGTTTCACAAATCAATTAACCAGGGCTACCCTGGGTCAGCACTTTGGTTTCCCACCTAAATTCTGACTAGAGTGAAAGTCCAAGTCTTTACCTAGTTGTGATGAGTGGTTTCTGCTTCCGAGGAGTGATGCCAAATGACATGGCTATTCGGGAGCCCTTCAAATCTCGTGTCTCTCAAGTGAGCTTAGGAAAACAGGTGGCTTCTAGCATGGACCCAGATTTAATACAATGATAATTAGATAACAATGACTTGAAATGGATAGTCGAGTAGACAGTCAATGCAAGCTCAATTTTTGTCAGGACAAGGTATTTCCTTTTCTTCTGAGAAAACTACAGTATAGAAATGGCCAGGTGCGCCTATGATTTTATTACATCTACAATGTAGTTCATGAGTTCTGATACTGCTTGAGTTTTTTAGAGAATACCAACTTCTGATGATTGAAACTTGTAATCCAAGTCTTCTATATCGAATTTTTTATATGCTCTCATGTTTTGTTTTTATATATGCTCTTTTCAATTTTCAAATTTAAACTCTACTCAGCCTGCATACTTTCAGTTTTACCCTCTCACTTACTACAGAGTTAATAAATTATCCTAATCTGAGTAAGATACAGGGAATTTGTGTGTCCACAGTTTTACCAGTTTAGGACTGCAGATGCATTAGCTGATCTCCTTTCATTCTAAAGTGTGTTTATGTAAACTGAACATGGCCTTTCTTTGGGTAAGAAACTCCAATAACACAGCATAATTAAGATTATTACAAGTTTAATTTACATTTAGCTAGACAATTTTAACTGTTAATAAACGAAGCAAATACTGGAAGTTTCTGAGCAAACAAACAAAAATAACAATCCCTGTAATACAAAATTTACATATTAATCATTCAGTATCATAAGGTAAAAATTGTATTAATTTTTTGTTGTTTTTCTGTTGACAGCGGTGTGGTGGAATATGATGCAGAAGGCTTCACAAAGCTCACTCTGTTGCTGATGTGGAAAGATTTTTGCTTCCTTGTTCACAGTGAGTAACACTTTGCCTCAGGCCTAAGTGTCTATCCTCTTGAAGATACAAGTTCAAAAGGGAAAAAATACAATTACAGGAAACAATTTAAAAGTTTTAGCTGTTTTTATCCAGTGCTTACTCTATTTTTGATGTGACCATGACACTTAGAAAACACAAAATCCCAATTGTATTTGGAGATGGGGGGAATTGGAGAAGGGGAGAGGATCCACATCAGTAGTGAGATGCCAGCTTTACAAAACACCAGAAGTATCCTGGGGAGGTTTTCTGGTAATATGATGCAAGTTTAAGTTCATGATTGTAACTTGGCCTTTCAGAAGTGTCAGTAATGAGAACCAATATTATACTCAACCTGGGAATACCTAAAATCTTCTATAGTTGTCAGGAGTTAATGCATTGATAGTTAATGCATTGATAGACTCTCTGTTTAATTACATGAGAAATACACTATACTGTCATTAGGATCCAAAAGATATTCCTAGACTGAAACTGTGTAGGCAAAACTGTCTTAACAACGTAGCTAGATTTCCTGTCATTTGAAAGTTTTAAAAAAGGATTGTATTGCTTTCAAAAAGACATTCTTAATTAAATAAATATATAAGAATTAGTCCATGTGGATTAGTAAATGTGGCTTTGTTACATATAACCTTTTACATGTTACTTTAAGTAGCAATTGTTATTTTTCCCTGTGCTAAGGTGAAATTCACAGGTATCAAAGGTATTTTTGTCTGGGGAAATTCGTTACTCTTTAGTTTGTTTGTTACACTTCTTATTTATGTTTAAAAGAATTGCTTTGCAGTCTGAGCAGCTGCAGCATTGGTGTTTGTTAACATTCTAGCACTGGTATCTTTGAAATTACTTCATTTTTGATTGTGGGCTAGCTTTCTATGTGGAAAACTGACACTGTCTTGATGGCACCATAGAAATTTGTCCTAGAGTTTTTGATGCAGAAAATGAGGATTGCCATTGTTCAGAGAAGTCCTTCACCCTGTGTTGTGTTGGAGATCGTAAAAAATGGTCTCGCTAATTCCTTTCTTTTTATCACCTAAGATTACCACACAGTAGTGACCTTAAGAGTTCTAGAAAATTCAAACCTGAAATTAAAACACTTCCGTCATATTATTATGAATTACGTTGTGGAAAAAAAAAATTAAAGCTGATATTTTTTGAAAAATTATCCTTGTTAAATCTTTACTTACATTTCAACTACGGTTGAGAATTGGTCACTGGACAATTGTCTTCTATGAGATGGCACTTACTTATGTACAGCCTTCTTGGAGATTTCCTGCCTTTCTTACTCCCCAACATGTTTGGGTTAATTGAATCTGTTAAAATTCGTGTGGATTTGATTTGTGCTGCAGGATAATATAACTTAATACATGTTGAATCAGTTAGATTTCAGGGGAATCAAAATTCAAATTTCTGCTAAATAACAGAGTAGGTTTTAACTGTGTAATATTCATAGTATTCAATTAAACTGGCATGAAAGGTACAATTATAACTGAATAGTTTATCACTATGTATTAACCCTGTGGCCTTAAAAATCATACAGTGTCTTAGCTTTGTAAGCCATTGCATCACCCGCTTGTTGAACAATCCACTGCAAAAGCATTTATGTTCCATGCACTGAAGGATATTGCAATGAAAGGACCGAAACCTGCACTTCATTTCCTGAGTGAAGTAATATAGACTTTCATCTCTTAACCACTGACATAACTATGTATGTTATGGTTGAATATTTAGCAAGCATCTAATAAAATGTCTGGGAGAGATAGCAATAAGTGGAAAACTGCTCTGCTTCATATATTTAGTATAGTATGTAGATAAAGTATTCAGAGGAGAATAAATAGGTCTGTATACAGCAGGCACCATGGCAAATCAAATGAAAGGTACCATAGTAAATTGTACTGGCATCTAAATTTTGGTTAAATTTTTATGTTTAATGGAGATGGTGAGATTTATAAACCCTGACATAAGTTGTATTTCCTTTAAAAGATGCATTCAGAGATTTCAAAAATAACTTTGGCATTGTTTTGCAGCTATTTGTATTCCAAGTTACAAACTTATTTGGACACTAGGAAGCAAAAAAACATCAGAAGTAAGGTGAAATTATTCAGAATAGTTGTACTGAGTAAACTGGGTTAAAGGAGAGAGAAACAGGAAAATAGTTCTGAATTGCCAAAGCCCAATAACCTTAGAACAATCTCACTTGCTAAAAAAAATTGATTTGTGCTGTAGTCACAGAATGAAGAGCAGAGTCTACTCACTCTACCTTAAAACACCAAAGAGCTACCTAGTTGCAAACTTAATCATTAGATTAATGAAGCTGCTGCAGTTATTGTGTTAGATCAAAGACCAGTTAAAGGAACTGTTGCTTTAGTGGTTTAGTTTTAAGAATTAATCAAGTGCTTTCAAATATAAGACAGAAGAAATAAACATATAGAGAAGTTCATGCATCCACGTAGGAAAGGAAATTGTTAATCAGTCGTACTGCTTTTGATATTGATACTGTTTATGAGTAAGTCTCCCTATCAATAGACCGCCAGTTTCTTTCTCTTCTTGTTTATGAATCAGCTATGATTAGTTTTTGTAGACAAGTATTTCTTCACATTCTTGTTCCTCTATACAGTCTGTGTATTTATACCATATATAAATCATAGTATTATTTAGGTTGGAGATTACCTTTAAGATCCAGTTTAGCCATTGATGCTATAACCAGAACAATATTAGATAAAACCACATTACATTATCCGTACATAATTAAGAATTAAGTAACCTTATTGTTATAAACACAAGAATAGGACTCTGAAGCAACCTTTATGTGGGCTTTTCAAAGATTAATTTTTATCTTGCAAGATTTTTAGGTTATCAGCACAAAGGAAAGTGACAGACGTTGGACTGGTTGCAATAGCAAATGAAACACTGCTTGTATTAGTGATTTTTAGGATTTCAGATGTCTTGGAAAGGACAAACTAAATTAAGAAAGGTTTGTTTCATTGAACAATATTTCAGGGGATGGAGAATGCTTGAAACTGCCAGCATTTGTATTTCAAGTTTGGAGGGGATCTCAGCCAAGGTGGAGTTGATGGGAACATTTGCTGGAACTGACTTTGACTAATAGGATTTGGGGTTCTGTGTGTGTAATGCCATTGACTGGGAGGTCCAAAACCAAGGGACCCAGAGCATTAATTGGGTTATAGGAGGCTATAGCTGTAAGTATCAGGCTTTGGATGCACACCTGCTTCTGGATTCAGGGTTTTTTGGTAGAAGTCATCAATGCCAGCTTTTGATGCATTCCTGTTTGAATATTGCTATCTGCACACATTTTTCAGAAGAGCGGTTTGTGCCGGTGTAGTCAGGTTACGTGGTTTGAATTGATGACCTTAGCTAAACAATCCTTTGGGTCTGGATTAGCACATCTGTCCACAGCCTCAGAAAGCTTGGAAAATAAAGACACAAAGAATTTTTGGTAGCCGTGTTTGTTCAATGACGCTTGGGAGGAGGGAAAAAAAATATGACATTTTGGGAAAGAACATTAGTAGCTGGGAAGACAAGTTTACACTACTGTGCAAAGAAAGTGCGGTTTATTCCAGAAGTGTTCGGAGAAAAAGGAACGTATGCCTACTTGCTGCAAATGAACAAAATTGTGTTGAAGAATTAATTCCTTCATTCCGCTCCCTTTCCAAGCAGAAATAACTCATTAGGCCTCAGATATTGTTTAATCATTCAGTATAGCATCAATAATCCTAATAATGTAGGTGAGTGTTAAATTTTCAGGCACTTAGTGTAGTTTAAGATGTTATACCTGCCCTTGAAAGGAGATTGCCCCACCTCTGGAAAGTCAACAGAACAGAGCTAGTGAGCATTTGTCTGCCCCTTCATCTATTTCTCCAGCAACTGTTTAAATAACAAGTTATACTTTGATGTAGTAAATGGCTAGCAAGGAGGTTTGATAAAATCTTAAATATGAAGGTTTTTCTTAAAAGAACATGTGTCTGATCACTTCTTGTTTACTATTACTAAAAAATTTCATTTGGCTCACGTACAACTAAATACCCAGGATGGAATCAAAGGAACACAATGTTTAAAGTACTCTTAATGTCAAAAATAAAATTATCAGCTTTCAATAACAATTTCAAACTAAATCTAGTTGGCAGAGTCCCTTAGAAATAAAGGAGAAAAATATGCCACAGAGAAAAATGATCAGCAGAAGACTCATTAATTTCCAAATGCTGCATTTCAGTCCTGTGATTAGCCCCTTTCTATGCCTATGCCTAGTTTAGTGCAGAACCATGTGCCTGTGACTCCGGCTACTTTTCCACCCGTGCCTGTTCCACGGCACTGCAGTGTATCTGCAGCTTTCATTGACTGCAGTTAAGCAATATGCACTTCACTACACAGGAAATGTCACAGAGAATGCTTTGTTTTGAGTGATTAAAACAACGTACGAAGTTTCGAAGAAGCCCCCTCTGCTTGGGGTATATTTTGCTGTAGGCAGAATGACATGCCTTCAGGAACATTCAAGCCCAGATTCAAAGAAATACATGGAACCAACTAAAAGTAGAGACAGTGAGAGGAGAAAACCACCACACAAAAGACACTTCTCTGCTTACTCCCAAGCGTAAGATCCAAATCGCTTTTGACTTTCTCCAGCCAGTTTTATATCACTGGGGCTTTCTTAATCTCCAGTTTTTCGTTTAAGAATGAAAAGACAGCCTGATACAATATTTGCTGACATTTTTGATCAGCATCGATCTTCTCATACTAGTATGAGGCCATCATAAGATACTTGTAGAGCCTATTTCCTATCACAGCAGCTGTTTCCTCTTTGTTGCTGTCCGTACCAAGTTTTATTAACTGCCTAGCGTCCATTCTCCTTTTTTCAGCAATTACAAATAGGAACCTAAAACTAGTTTGTGCGGAGTGACATGAAAACAAAATGAACAAGAGGAAAAGAAAACCTCCATTTTCAGATTTCACTTGCATCCGTTGTGAATACC